ATCAGATGGTTTGGTTGGTTAGACAGTTAGCTATCGAAGTTGGACGAGCTGGTCTGCTCTGAAGCAAGGGGTTATTTTTCCATTAAGAGCCGTGGGGGCGCAGTGGTCAGAGTGCAGTATTGCAGGCTAACTCTGCTCATATTGACAGTTCGATCCTGACCCAGCTCGTGGTTGACTCAATCTTCCATCCTTCTGAGGTTGGTAAAATGAGAAGTCAGGTTGTTGGGGGGACCAACGTGCGGACATTTGTTGACTATGGTTTTTTTAAAAAAATTGGTTTTTCAAAATATAAAATGCAAAGAAAAATATAAAAGGAGTGGAAAACTAAGAAAAGGGAGGGAAAAGAAAAGAAACATAGTGTAAAGGGAGAAAAGGAAAGAAAAAGGCGCCAACTGCCGACTTTCTTTAGCACAGTAGAAGAGAACAATGTTACAACCGCAACTTTATCCTTTTACACAACAATATTTCTAAACATTAAGCCGATTTAGTTAACAAAAACAAAATCAAAATTCCCTCTTTCTTTCATTGCAAGCACAAAATTCGGAAGCAATTTCAGAATAGAAACAAGGTTAGATGTATTCCCTTCTTTGGATAAAAGAACGGGGTGGTGACATTTGTAAGTTGCTTGGAGTATGCTATAAAGAACTATGAAGCGGTACACAAGTCTAAGTGCTATTATAATTTGGAAAGGCGTGTCATGTAAACGGTGCAATAAAATAATGGTATGTAGCAGAAAGCTGAATTTCATAACTTTAAAGGCACTACAGCTTAGATCCAAGAGCCAATTGTGCACCAACTAGGAAATCGGAGGAAATGGCCTTTAAAGTCCCTCTGATTGGAGGGGGGGGGGGAGAGAAATAACATGCCTTTTTAATTGTTTACATTTCATTTGATGTACCACAAAACAAAAACTACAAAATAGCCTGTTTTGTGTTAAGTGAGGACTAAGTCATAGGATCTATGTGGGGAAACTCTTATTTAAAAGGCATCGCCCAGGTATTTATTTATGGGGAGCGGGGGGGAATGTCTGGACCAAACATAATTTCTAATGTTGGATTTTCCCCCTTACCAGAGGGTGTCCCCTTGTGGAGTACTGTGAAGCCATTACCATGGCAACTCCACTCCGCTCTACAGTAGAAGCCATTTTAANGTTAAGTGGATCACTGTAGTGGCACAGTTGTTAAGTGAATCTGGCTACCCCACTGACCTTGCTTGTCAGAAGGTTGCAAAAATTAATCACAGGATCCTGGGTCACTGCAACCGTCATAAATATGAGTAAGTTGCCAAATGTCTGAATTTTGATCAAGTAACCAAAGAGAAACTTCAATGGTTATAAGTGTGAAAAATGATCGTAAGTCACTTTTTTCAGTGCCATTATAACCTCAAACAGTCACTAAATGAATGGTTGTAAGTCAAGGACTGCCTGTATGTCTTTTTCTAAAGCAGATCGTCCGTCTTCTTGGTGCACCGTCCACTGTTCTGAAATTACTGTGATTCTGGCATTTAATACTACTATTAATGGTTGATTTATTGGTTTTAGGGAGATTTATAAACATCATACCTTCATTTGAAACAATTGTATGTTTTTCCCTGCTTTAGTCACTCTGCTTCTGTTAACAGGAGAATAAGCATCATTTTTTTCAGCAAGTATCTAATTACGGTGATTGAAAACATATAGTGAGTGCCAACAGAACACCTCTGCATCTGTTTTGCTGTTCCTTTTTTCAACGTTGCTGAACCCTTTTGTTTTCAATCATTTGTGTTAGAAATTCTATGTAAAAAAACGTACCGTGGATAAAATGAAGAGTACAGTCACCATGTTCTTTACTGCTTAACTGTTTTAACTCTGACCAGGAATCTCTACTTAGAACAAAAGACCATAGAATATATACCATTCATCCAAACCTGTAAACACTGCCATCTACTGGCTGAATGCTACTCTAGTTGTTGTATAGAAAAACATTCCAACAATTTGATTGTATCGTTTTCTGCAAATAAGAACTTACAAGAGTGCTCAAAGTTACTTGATTATTCCTTTCATGACGGATGTTGTTTTATATACTTCATTGGCCTTCTTTGAACCCGAGACCCCTGCCTCAAAGCCTAAAAGAGGAGAAAGACTCCCCAGCCCAGAAATCTTTACCAGATTAGGCAACTGGCTGAGCTGGGTCTTCAGTCCCATTCACCACCTTTTATATCGCCTAACTTCAAAGGCATTTCTGTTGGGCACCATGTTGCCTAAATAAGAAGCAGATGCTACAGTTTGAAAACTGTCTACAAGTTCAAACATATGGGCTGTTTCTTACATTTAGCCATGCATAGTTACAGTTACTGTATTTTTTGGAATATAAGACGCACCTTTTTCCCTCAAAAAAGAGGCTGAAAATCTGGTTGCATCTTATGCACTGAATACAGCATTTTTTGCCTCCTGAAACCCCGCCCCTTCACCAAAAAATACAGTA